GGGAAAGAGGATATTTGACTTGCCTTATTAATAATAATAATAATAATATTTATGTGTTCTGGTAACACTTTGAATTTCAATTTATTTCTGATGAATTTCAATTTATTTCTGAAACCTTGCCCTTTGGGAAGAACACACCCTTAAAGATGACTTTTTTTCAGGGGTCTGTTCCTTTAAAATTCTCTTCATTTCGCTGTTCTTTTTCAATTATCTACCAGAAAACTTGCTTTCTTCCAGCAGAAACGCGGCTGGTGGGCTTGGGCTTTCACTGCACCCGCTCTGTGAAATTCTCTGGGAAAACCCCTCGGCATTGGTCAAGTGCCTTATGCTGGATCCAGTCAGACTCCTTCACGCCCATCAGCCATCCTTCATCCTGGAGGAGAAGACAGAGATCAGACGCTGAGGGATAGATGCAAGCAGGGATTTATCTTATAGAGTGCAGGCCAAGGAGGTGTCAGGGCACTATCAAAGCCATGCTTGTAGTTGGCTTGGAGACAACCCAGGAAGAGGATGGGGGAGAAGGAAAAAACTGCTGTCATTCCCTTTTCACAGGGAGAAGGCTACATCCCACCAGAATCAGTACCAAAACTCCTATGTGACCCAGAGTGTCCAGAGACAGAGAAATTGTAAACAATTAGCAAGTATAATAAAAACATCTCATAATTTACACCCACTGAAGCAGGAGAAATTCTGTCAAAGAAAGTCTCTAGAGCTATGGGATGGGAATTGCCTATCCCACCTTTCACTATCTAAGCATGAGGAGTCTAGCATTCTCCACAGTCATAAAAGAGACTGGCATGCACCTCCATAGTGCGATTCATCCCATTTGTCTTGGGCAAATGTCTTTGGACAGGATGAGTCATTCCCTGGAGGTGCTCATCCCCTGGCCCAGTCACAGCACCTGGGTGATTAGCATTTTAGGTAGGTGGTACAGGCAAAATGAGTCCTGTTTGCTACGCTGAAATTCTGATCTATGAGAACTGTGAGCTGAGGAGCTCAACCCATCTTCCCAAAACCCAGTAGTCTGTTGGGCTCCATGTGAAGCACGTAAGTGAGACAGGATATTTAAGGCGGGAAAGCTGCACTGCTTGCAGCTCAGCGGTGCAACACGCTATTTTCTGCAAGCCTTGGAGTTGCCACCATGGAAGTAGCCCTTCAGCATGCAAATACACCCACTCAGCGTCAGCCATTTGCAGTGGGGCAGCCTGTGGGTTAAGATTGCAGCATGAGGCAACAGAGCTCCACAGCTGCCTCCAAACTCAACAGCCTGCCCTGCATCCATTCCTCTGGGCAAAAGCATGCACCAGGCTCATTTGGAGACACGTTATCACATGTCACAACTTGCCAGGGCAGAGGTGCCCAGGCAACCAGATGCTCTAAGCTGTGGGGAATTAGGACATGTGTGCATGTGGTTCACACAGTTGTTCTGACACTTATGCTTTCCTGGAACTGGCAGGAGTTACCTGGGTATTTTACCCAAAGCCAAGCAATGCCTCCTTTGAAACACATTCTTTAAAAACATACCTGCACAGTGCAGGAGTGATGCAGCCCTCACCAGTGGTGATCTGTGGGGCACTATTGCTTTCCACTGCCACTTTGCAGCTTCTGCCCTCTTGTCCCGTTTTCTGCACATTTCACATGGCAGCAGCTCAGACCAGCCATTGTATCTGAGTTCCCTGCTCCTTGCAGGTTGTACCAGGTACCTGCAGGCTCAGTTAGCCCTTGCTGCCGCCTTAGATTTGAGCATTCAGGGGATGTCACGGGAATGGCACGAGACAGGAGCCCATCTGCAGCAGCCAGCTGCAGGGGCTGCGGAAGGACTGACATGCCATAAATCAGGAAGACAAACAACTAGGAGGAAGACGCTGGGACAAAGTGTCTGGAAGGCAGCTTGCAGCTCACAGCACGGCAAGCACAAAAGCTCATCCATTTGCACGCAGCATCTGTGCCATACAGCATGCACCACTCTCACTGCATCCTGCTACAAAGGGTCTCCTCAGGGATCAGACACAAGGACCCAGATTGACCCTTGCCAATTTTGAACAACGTCACTTGAAGCACCAGCTTTAGAAGCATTGCTGCCCTCAACCTCTTCTTCTATCAAGAGAGATTAATCCAGGCCTGGCTGATGGACCCACAAACTGACACCTAAGCTGCGAGATGGGGACACGGATCACAGTCTATTATCCTAAGCTTCCTCCACTCACGTGCACAGCTCATGCACATGTTAACAGCCAATGTTTTCTGGCTGGGTATGGTCAAGGTTAGGGAAATGAGCTGTAGCACAGGATACACTGTAGGAGGGGTTAGAGGGCTTCAGTGCAGCTACAGCACCATGTTAGCAACACTCAGAGCTCACCCTCTGCAGCTTGGAGAGTCTCGAGTTCATGGCTGTTGCACCCACATCCAGCTAGAGTGCAAACAGAGGGCATTGAAAAACTCTGCTCCACAAATGCCATGTCCTATCACAGAAACTAGGGGAGCTGCCAAACATTTCCCATCCAGAAAGCTTTCTGAGAAAGAAATGTTCACAAATGCTTGTGTAGGGCAGTCCCACTAAGTGAAAAGACTTGTCTCCAGAAGGAATCACTGCCTCTTCCCCACATAAGCCTTCCCCCCAGAACACCTAGCTCTGTAGGAATCGCCAGCACATTATAGCTCCCATTTCATAAGCAGCAGCAAGATCTGCCTCCGCAATTCACAAAGCCAACAGCTGAGCAACAAAGAAGATCCATATCTTCTATGGCCAATGAACTACATCACCTTCCCTTTACCCCTTGTGGAATCCAAATCTCGTCAGGGTTTGGCCAAACCCAAAGAGCTGGTGACTACTGAATCAATTTGGAGAATTCCCTTCCTTTTCCAAACAAAAACCTGGAGACATGAGCATGAATTTTATAAAATCACCACTTTCCTCAGCCAAAGTAGTAAAAGCGCTGCAGACTTTATCAGCTGGAAGCCCTCAAACACAGCAAGTGAGGAGGATTTATTCAAGGCTTCTAGAAATAGCTCAGATTAAAGAAAAACATTGCCAATTAAATTCATGTTGGAGATGGACAGCAAGACTGTTCTCTAAGGCTGAGCAACCTGCTTGCTCCAGCCTTTGGTTCTGCTGCCATCTCCTGACCAAGCATCATATTTCAGAAACAGGAACTGCTATGCTTGAAGTGCAAGACATCATCCATGGCAAGCTGCTTTCTCAGCACTCCAGCATTTCTCAAAAGGAGAGAAAATATCATCATAAGCTGTGGGTCACTCCTGCCAATGCCACAATCTGCACTGCACTGGTCACAAGGAACGTGCATCAAGTTTAGGAGCAGTGAGAAGGCAAAGTATGGGCTTTGTTGGGCTCCCTGATCAAGGAAGCCATTGTATTGTCTCAAATGCTCTGAGAGGTACAGGAAGCCACGGCTATTTCACATGCTTTAGGCAGGATGACGACTCCATTTTTCCAATCACAAGTGGAGTCCTCCTCTGTTGCAGGAAGCCAACGTCAAGGTCAAGGACAACTGGCTCTCCCACCAGCTCCCAGCCACAAACTGATGGCTCTACACCCAGCCAGCCGACTGTTAGTGGAGGAAGAAGCAGCTCTGAAGATGCCCTCAGCTCCTCCCAGACCAGGCTCACACCCTGTCTTCCCCACTCACCTGCTCCTCAGGGTTCTCAAATGGAATCACAAGCACCACGTCCCCGGCCTTCAGCTGCAGCTCGTCACTGTCGGTGGCTGTGTAATCATGCATGGCCTGGACCTATGGGGAGCAGAGATGAGAGGAGAGCTTGGGTGAGGCTGGTCTTCTCTCACCCAGCTCTGTAACAGGCTAACAAGGCTTTCTACTTCATTGATTCACTGGATGATTCAGGTCGGAAGGCACCTTTTGGAGGCCATCTGATCCAACCTGCTGCTCAAGGCAGGGCAAGCTTGGATCACAAGTGCCACATCTATGGGAATAACCAGTTTCCTTAATAAAGCCATGCATGCAGCTTGCCATTGCCACAGGGGCATCCTGGCGAGTCTCATCCAACTTGTTTGCATCAGCACCTCACCATCCTTCCTTAGGAGGGCTGAATTCCCATGGTATGGGCCTAAAACCTCACAGAGCAGAAAGCCTGTGTTCACTTGAATGGTGCCCTGCTTTCCTTCTGCAGCTGGACTGCAAGAGTATTAGAGATTATAGCCTCCCATCTCTGTCACAGCAAGCAGGGAGAGGAAACATAAGGAATAATATCAGTTTGGATCTTTGAATGCTTGTATCCTGCCATGTTTCCCTTTGGTATTCAGCCTAATTCCTATCAACAGTTTTTCTACTTCATACCACAGCACTCCAGTTCAAGCACTACAGTCTACAACACTGTCTGTAACCAGTCTAGATGTGATGAGCCTCCTATTGTTTTTCAGGGTTTTGTAATTCTTCTGCTTTCGGTGGATCTCCCAGAAGAAAAAAGTTATGCATGGACATGACTAAAGCAGAAGAAAAGTATTCCTATAGCAGGTTAAACAAAGAAAAGAGGAGACTTTCATTTATCACCTTCAGGGCATGATGCATCTGCGCTGTCTTGCTACCATATCCCCTTACGCATGTTAAATTTGTGGCCTATCCTCACCCAGAATCACTCCTCCTCCGCACCTTCAAAACAAGCTGCAAGTGATCTTTGACATATTCAGAACACCCACCATACTTCCCTGTCTAATACTGTATTTTTCCCTGTTCATCCTGGCTGTCTATTTTCCCCATACATGAAGTCCTCTGTCCCTACTGGTGTTTTCAACTCTTCTTCATTTGCCAGGTGCATCAAAGTTTAACCTTTTCAGTTTGGAGCAGAACTTCTTAACTTACTACCCAGAGTCTGTGACTGACACTGCCACTCCTGAGATGGAAATAACTGCAGCAGAGAGAAGGAGAGGGTTTTGCTGTATAGTACAGCCAGATGCGTATCCCTCCTTCAATTTTCTTTCTCCCTTTCATTGTGGCATAGCCCATGGCCGTATTCAGCAAAAATAGTTAATTCATTACAGTCAAAAAAAAAAAGTCATCAGGAACTTGGTGCCCCACCACCACGCACTCACCTTGAACAGAAATCCTGGAGGCATGTCAGCTCTTTCAGACGAAGCACCTCCTTCCACAGTGCCATTGACAGTAGCAGGGAAAGTTTCCACAACAACAGCAGGCAGAGAGCTCTGGTAGGCAGCAGCAACCAGGGAAGGAAAAAAGCCATTGAGAAATGAGAATCCAAAATTGCAGCTCCAAGTCCACCCTAGAGGATCCACATCCCAACCCAACCCATGGCTTCAGTGAGTTTTCCCAGCACACTAATCAGTGACAAAAACACCCCAAGGGACAGCAGAGACAGCACTGACAAGGTAGGAGAGGTGACTGCTTTCTTCCTTTGCTTAAGGCTGCAGAAGGGCAGAGAGGATTTAGAGTTTTTCTGGGACTATACTGCCTGGCATTTCCTATTCACTGTGGTCAAGACACAGTTCTTGTAGAGCCCTTGTGGAACAGACAGCTCGAATGTGACAGCCCATAGGAACCAAGCAGCCATGAGATGGGACCTACTTGAGTCCCCTAAAAAGGAAGCCTGGACATTCAAGGAATACAGGCAGCCCAGAGGAGAGGGTAGGTAAAGTAACTGGTGAGCAAGGAGGAACGCAGCAGACAATGCAAGCTTAGCACAGTACGGGCTGTGGGCTGGCTTCACAATGTGGGTGAAGGAACAGGGTTTTTTGTGAATCTTCCAGCAGAGTTTTTCCCTAAACATTACACAGACAAAATGCAACAGCTAAATCTGGCCTCTGAATAAGAGCATTTTAACAGCTGGGGTGGCAGGGATGTGTTCTTTCAAGCAGCCACACATCTCTTTTCCCAGACCAGCTTCCCACATCTGTTGCATAACAAAGGGATGTGATGGAGAGAAGGGACTGCTGTCCCTCAAGGTGCTTACCGATCCTGAATCAGCTTCAGTTTTAGATGCTTCAGCTCCAGCTGCTGCTTCTGATCCAGCTGCTTCAGCTCCTGCATGGGCTGCTTCTGCAGGCTGCAATACAAAAGCCATCCAGGTGGAGAGTTATGCTCACTACAGTTACACTTGAGTGCAGAAAAGTGCAGCTCAGTCTGTCCAAGTGCTCTATGCTGTTGACTGCTGCCATCTGCTGACAAATAGGTGAGCAACCTCAGGGTCTTGCTAAGCTTGTGTCTCCCTCTTTCTGTGCAACCCAGTGAAATCACAGTAAAGCCTGCATTCGCTCACTCCAGCCACATAGCAGAGGCAATACTCCAGAGGAAATCAATGCAACCCCAAAAAACCTCCTGAGTGCCTTTTTCTTTTCATCATCTAAATCACAGACCTACTTCACACATGCACCATTATCTATTATGACATCTAGATCGCCCACTTGTCTGTGAATACAAATCTGCCTGCATGCTGAGGAAAGGGCAAGCATCTCTCAACAGAGTACTTCCAAGGTTCAACAATCAAGGAATATTTAAGCCTTTGCACACTCCCAGAAACAGAAGAGCACAGTAACGATGTGTCCAGATATGGAACTTAGTCTGGACCTAGCATCTACATGACATTACCACTGAATCAAACTGAACTGAAAACTGTGCTAACTTTCACCCAATTGGATTTTGGAAAGGCCCAGAGAGTCAAGAATTTTGATTCTGTTGTGAATATTCTAGCAGTAATAGCAGTAAGACTTTGCTATGAATATTCTGCGTGGTGTGTGCACGCATGCACACATTTGTGTTGGTGGAGAGGGGAGTTTCTAATGCACAAAAGTTGCCACCGCCAGGGAGAAATATTCACCATCACTGATAGATCACTGCTTGACAGAGACTGTTCAAGGAAGCCTGGGGACAAAGGTTTCTGTGCACAACAAAAGACCAGCCAAATACCTCTGATGCTCTTCCAGTGGTTCAAGTTTTTTTTCTTCCTTGGCTGAAGTCAGGCTAACTCTGTTCTAACACAAAATTAAAGATATTCATTTGCCCCTCCCAGAAACTGGAGCAACGCAGGAAATAAGTTGGATCTGGTAGCACCAATACTGCAGATCAGCCCCTTGGGAAACTGGCCAGGCTGCATCTGGGAAGACTCCTGACAAGAATCTCAGCGGTCTAATTTGCAGCCCAAATGTCTTCATGGCCAGTCTGTATCCATTTGTTCTCTATACCTGATAGCACATGCACCTCTTTGCAGGATTTAACCATATATTTACTTTATATTTGCACAAAAGAGATTGCGATACAGAGATTTCCCATTTTTAATACACATTAATAAGCCAGTTTTAGTATGCCTACGTGACTCATACATTTGGCAAACACAGCTACCCCTGAATACAACCACATCCAAAACAAGGCATTGTCCAGATTCTTAATGTTGGAATTCTCAAAGTGCCAACCCTACAAAAGCCCTGTGTAAAGCAACAACCATGGCAACCCTTAACTCCACACCCATCTGGCCACTAACCATGCACTCGCACAATCCTCCAAGCTGTTTTCTAATAACAGCAGCAATAACGAAGAAATAAATTTTTAACAAAAAGCCATTACTTTACCTTCAGCTGCTCCAATAGTGCCATTTAACACATGCTTTCCTCTCTGACCACCTCCTTTCTCACATTTCCCCATCACCATGTCCACAGCCCTACATTGCCAGAGGTTATTATAAATAGCAGAGCTGTTCCCATCCTGCAGAGGATTCCCACAGCAGCTTCGGTAGTGCTAAAGGTAAATGTATGCATATAAAATGCTACAAAGGCTTCTCCTGTTTAATTAGATTCATTCCCAGGTTGTTTTTTACTTGGATTCAGTGAAACTGGGACTGGGACAGATGCCAGACCAACTCTATCTGGCCAAGCATGGATTTTACGTGGACAAGTGAAAAGGAGCTCAACATGAGCTCCTTTTTTAAAAGCAGCTAATTTGCAAAAACAGTATTTAATAACCAGAGAAACGGAATCTAAATTAATCCCTTGGATTTCAGCAAAGGGCGTTTTCACGTCAGCTACTTATTTTTCTATTTTATGTACCTGGTGGACACCCAAAAGCCTACAAAAGCATTTACAGTCATGGAAAGATAATGTAGGGAGAAGAGGAAGAGTTGCTCACTGCTGTTGCCAGGCTTGAAAGCTTTGCTTATTCCAACAGCAGCATCATCATACCAAATGCAAGTTTCCTAGTCTGCATAACTAGGAAATAAAGCAAGTTCTGCTGCATCCAAGTTTCTACACAGTTGTTAACCTCATGGCATACCATATGCAACCACGCAACAAGTCTCCTCTCATCAACAGCTAAGAACAATATTAGAGCAAAAACACTTCAGCAGACTTGAAGAGCAAGAGGAGGATTCCCCAGCTATAGGGAGCTCTGCTCTTCAACCAGGTATGGTATGCCAAGGTGAGAATTGGCACGGTGAGGCTCTAGTAGCATTCCCTGGTTGATTAAATTGTCCTTTGGGTGAAATCAGTTTCCAGTATGGGAGAGATGGCTCAAAACACCTTTTACACCCCAGACTGTAAGCACAGTTCAATCAGATACAGTCATACCTCACCCCTGACCAGCCACTTGAAAGGCACAAGATCTTTCCTTGCACAAACACAGACTTCTTTTCTTTCTTACCAAGTCAGACTGACAACGCACATACAGGGGAATGACAGATGTTAAACACTGATGGCTGATAAAACACACAAGGGAAACATCTTTCTCAACATGACCCAAGCTCATGTGAAGGACAGCACTGGCCGCAGCGAGTCCTTGGGCCAGGTTCTCAGCAAGGGTTAAGTCATGTCCTCCCAAGTACTGACTCTAGGGGGTGATCTGGCCCTTGAGAACAGGAAGGCTGGTAGGCAAGATTAAATTCCCCAGCGTAAACCAAGGACACATGCTTACACCTACACCACGGTATACAGCCAGCTCAAGTAGAAGGCTTGAGTACACAGACCAAGCATTTTCTCTCCACACTGCTGGCTGTTTGTCCAGAGGGGCTCAAAAGTAGTTGTGCTTGAAATATCTCCCAATGGGCAAATCTGCAGCAATCTGAGACCCTCCCAGGCCTGATATACCTAGAGGCACAAATGAGGGCATGACTTTGGTTCAGATGCAGAGCATGTGTAGGGTCTCCCTTTTCAGCAAGCTCCAAAGCTGAGGTTGAGGCAGATGCCTAGTAAGTCATGGACCTGCACTTAACTTTCAGTGTAGACACAGGCTGATCTATTTCACATCAGCCTTTCCAGCAACAACGGTCAGTGAAGAGCAAACACCACAGATAATCCCAAACACCTATGTATACCCAATGGTACAGGCAGTAAGGATGAAGGGCAGCTGAGACATTTATACATCGCACATAAGATCAATAGGATGTACAGAGTTTAGGAAATACTGGGGGGTGGAGGGTGAGGATGATGCCACAGTGGGATTAAGTTCAAGGAGAACGTTACAGCATCATGCCAAGGGAAAGATGAGTGAGTCAGCAGGGGAAGGCAATGGGGTTGTGCGCTGGTAGAGACATAAGTTTCAGAGTGCCAGACCTGACTCGCAAACATCTGGCTGCCCCTGGGGCTTCACAAAAGGTGCAAAAGTGAGTTCAGCAACACATGGAGCAACTTTGGTTTGGGGTGTGCAGAAAGGAAAAGCAGTGAGGGAAAGGACACAGGTATGCGCACAGAGATGGCACCGGCACATGCACAGTACATGATGGAGATGAGAGCCATGAAGTTCTTACCTCCCATAAATCCCAAGGTAAAGACTAAGCATGTCAAAGAGCAATAAAAACAAAACAAGTTTACATGTGATTATTTCAGTGAGTACAAACATTACAGAAGCTCATCAGACTGAAGCAGACATACACATTCAACACCACTTATCTCTGCATGTTTTAAAAATACTTTTTCAGTACCTGAATTTATACATCCCTCCCCACTGCATATTCAAATTTAAGTAACAAGGCATTTGAGTAAAGGTTTTTTCTACCTCTGGTATGAAGGGAGACAGCCAAGCCACATTCAGTTATCAGTGGCAGACCACAAAGCCAGAAAAAAACCCTCATGAGTTTCCGGTCCATCAGGGTTAAATATTTGACTGCTTTGAAAACTAGGTGATTTTCGCTAGGTTTTATACTGTGTTTATCATTAGAAAGTATCCAGACTCTCTTTTAATGATTTCTGAAGCTAATAATAAATAAATTAGAACACCAAATATGCCACTGCTGAGCAGTTTTGAAAAACTCAGTGTAATATTTGTTGCTTGCTGGAAAATTAACAAATAATCGCATTTTAAGTCAAATCTATACTTGTATCCTATGCCAGTATACCAAATTAACCAATTTATAACTGGTGATTCAGAAAAAAAAAATCCCAGTAAATATTTTTTTTTTTAGAAAAAGCTTATCCTGGCATGCAGCTTGTTCTGTCAGGCAAGCAGACACAAAATGCCAATCTGCCCACTTAAGTTCCAGAAAGCAGTAGCTTGCCTATTGTTGTGTATCAAGCTATGATAATAACCGGCATTTTGCAGACACTGTATTTTAATTTAGAAGAATCAATGCCTAATATTTAACCTCTCTAATAAGAGAGATCTCATCGCTACAAAAATCTGTGTCACACAGGCCTACTTGACACAATGATATTGGAGAAATACTGTAAACATCTCAGTTATGTTTATCACAAATTTTAATGGCAACCACAGGCAAAAAGTAACCATTTCATACATATGAAATGGAAAGTCTGCGTGAGGACAACAGACAAATTCAGGATGCACTTCAAAGCCTCCAGCCTTTCAGACATAAAATGAAAGGCAGCCCACCTGCTCCTGACAACGGACAGACCAGGTATGGGCCAGACCAGAATTAGGCATCTTCCCTCTTTGATACTGCACTGTGCAGAACTATGCTCAGGGAGGAAGCTACTTCTTAACTATGAACAGAGGCTATGTTATACCCAGAAGAAGAAGGGCTTCACATCACTTGCATATCCATCTACAGCTTTATTCACCTTAAGTATCCACAGATTATCAAAGAGTTTATTAAAATCCCTTTGAGAGCAATTTATAGCAGGAGAACAGAACAGAGGCTGAATTCCCATCCACAGAGTAACAGTTTAAACCCATATAGCACACAGATGATGCTAACCCAGGGAGGGATATACATTAAGTTTAACAAGCTGTCAATCAGTAGATCAGAGGAAAGCACACGCATCCCACAAACACTAGTGCCAGACTATGGCCTGGCTATAGCCGCCTGATTCCCACTGGACTTACACATCCAGCGGAGAAGACCAAGGTGCCCATCTGCAAGGCACAGGCCTGGGCACCCAGCCCAGCCACCCACAGCTCAGGTCCACATTATCATTCACATGGGCGCAGGCCATGCCACGCTTGGCAACAAGTCAGTTAGGAAGGGAGAAGGAATGGTGATATGAACCAACCTGGGAGGCGGGTGTGGGGGTCTTCCCCACAGAGGCATCTGGTTTAATGGGATCAAAATCCAGATCCAACAGGCTGGCTCCCTCCTGGAAGGGCCCAGGGGCATCAAACTTGGCAGCAGTGAGGAAGAAAAGCAGTACGAGCGTTAGACACACACACACGCACAGTAGAGGGGGGGTACGTGATATCCAGGAGCTAAGGCTGCAAGCACAGAAGACGTGGTGGCAATGCAAACACCTGATGTGACTCCTGACTGCTTGCTGCCTATAATCACAATGGTTCGCATGGGTGCCACTGTAAACCAAACCCGAGCCTTTCTTTTCCACAGGACTCATTCATCTTCTCACCTGGCCAAATGAGCTGACATGGCGTAAGCACCTGAGCTGCTGTGGTCAAAAAGGATCACTGCCACTGACGACTCAGAAGAGCTTCTCTTCTATTTACATCTATTCCTCATAGCTCATCCAGCTGCCTTTGTACTAAAGGCCCAGGACAGACTCCCTCAGCCACATACAAAAGAGCTGCCACCCATACAACTTATCTCAGGAACACAGATCCAGGCAGAAAAAACACTCAGACTTCTGGAAAGCAAGTCTAAGGGACCTCAGAGCTAACTCACAAAGCTCCTATTTCCCTCCAGACTCCTTAGACAGAAACACAGCATATGGCAGCTCACCCTAGCTGAGGGATTTGAATCACCCTCCAATCAAAAAATGCTGTTTTCAATGCTTTCCATTTCAGGACATCCCAGAAACATGCACACATGAGTCTTGTAACAAAGCATAAATTTGAAAGGCTTTGCTACTCTCTTCAAAGTCAGCAGAATAACTCACTTTGACCGATTAACACTCTAAAGACAACGATGGAACATTTGCTGATTACAGGCTCTACAAAGGACACGAATCACTAGTATTCAAAACTACACTATCACTTTTGGGGTTTAGATCTAACCTAACTGCCACAAGACACTCCTTTCTACTTAGCTTCAGAGGAAGCTGCTCTCTCCAGGAAGATTTGCCCCCATTTCCACTGACCTCCCAACTCACTGGCCCTACCGCTTCAGCTACCTTTTGAACAACACACCAAGTCTGGCAGGTTGGTCTCCACAGTTATATCATAGTCCCATCACGGAAAAACTCCTGGAAAGTAGCAAGAGACACAAGTTAGGAGAAAATCCTCTGCACACAACCCACACCACCATCATCTTCACCTCCTCTAACTTTCTTTCACTCCAATTCCCTTATAGACTTTTCTCTCCCTTATAAACTTCTTTGTCTCTTTTTGAGATACACATGCATGAGAACAAGTAACCAAGCTCTCCCATCTCATAATAAACCCTGGCCCAGTATGACAAAACCAACTGGCATTCTAGTGCACTCCTCCAGCACATCCAGGCTATCCATCAGAGAGGCTCAAACCCCAATCTTTAGTTTTGTTTGGTGGTGAGACACCATAGGCTCTGGTCATGGATTAATCTTACCTGCCATTCAAGACTTACATGCAAGGGCTAGCACCCCTTGCTCTACCCAGATCTCCCACAAGACAGTTTATTGGAGCCAAGACATCTGACAAGAATGGCCCTGGGCAACATACTGAAGGCTAGTGGCTACTGGGTGCTTCAGTGAAGATTGTTCTGGCAACCAGAGGCCTCCCTCAGAAGTCTCATCTGATTGAAAGTCACAGCAGATCCCATCTTAGGTCAAGATACTGATCAGGAGTAGAAGAGTATGTCTGGCTAAGGGCTGGCATTCACATGGAAACACATCATGCAAACCATGGGGCAGACAGAGCTGTCAATTATGATACAGGAGAAGGAAGCACAGAGAATTTTAGAGAGTTGCCCAGCTGCCTCTGGTTCCCCCCTTCCAACACTGCTGTCAAATCATCTCTCTGCCTTGCAACCTTTATCTACTGCAATGCAAAAATCTGGCATTGACTTCCTTCCCTCCCCACTCCACCTCTGCTCTTCAGCAGCTGGGTGGAAGGTGGCAAACCAGAGGCAATGGAGCAGCATGATGCAAGGAAAAGTTAGGGAATGATCCCAGATGAAGACTGATAGAGATATTACTTATGCTTTAACAAGCATTTAGGAAAAAAAATATATATGTATATATATTTAAAAAAAAAAAATCAGATGCAGGTATCTCGTGATACAGCCAGAAATCTGGTCAGGCTCCTATACACATAAGGACTGACATTCTCCTAGGTCTAGCACAGAATTCCCCACCTGGGTATCCTCTCTTGCCATGTTGTAAATCAAAAGGGAAGTGAAGAGGAGAATATGTAATTTGAAAATGTTTTTCCATTTTCAGGACTTCAAAAGCTGCCACATGACAAGAAAGAAACATTCTGATGGGAACCACTAGCTAGTAAAGAGTGACAGACTGTGTCAGCAGTCCTGACTTCACAGCAGGCACAGTCCTAACCATCTAAACTGGAGCCACCTATTCTCTCCAAAGAGAACTTCATACAATTCCTGTTGGCCTCTCCTGTGCAGGTGTGGGCTTTAAACCACAAAGCCCAGGTGAGACATCTTCCAGAACTGGCACAGATGCCAGGGTCAGCACTTGGGGATGTACAAGAGCAGAAAACACGTCCTTCATCCACACCCAGGATCAGTGGGCCTGAAAAGAATGTACCATGGGATGTGAGAGGAGCCATAATCCATGTGCATTGTTGCTGAACAAATGCAGCGATTACTTTCTGGCATCTTCACCCATTGCCTTTCTCCTGTTTCTTCTATGAATGAAAGCTCTCAAAGGGCAATGCGTTCGTCAAAGCTGCCTTCTAGCCACCCTCCCATCTAAGTTAGTGTCCTATCTAACCCTTTGCCTTCTGAGGTCCAATGCTGAGCTTGCCTTGCTCCTTCACCTGACCAGGTTTCATGGCTTGACACCTCCAAAGAGAAGAAAGGTCAAAAGAAAAAGTTCAGAGGCAGAGAAATATAAGGCAGGGCATAGCAGCTAACCTGCGAAGGGGTTGTCACACTTATCTCAGGGACAAAATTGTCATCAAACAGACTGATGATGTTCTCCTGCTTGATCTCCTTGGAGGGGGTGACTTTTGGAGGCGGAGGCACCGGAGGCCCTTTCCTCAACTGCATGCAAGTGAGCACACGGCCACAGCACGGACGGCGACACCCAAAAAAACCAGAGACAGGAACCAGGTTAGCCACAAAAACCGAAGTTGGGGGAAATCACAACCACAGGCACAGAGCAGGGTCCAATCAATTCCATCTGGAGAGAGAGGAAGGGAGGGTGAAGGGCTGAATCGAAACAAAACAAAAAAACAACCAAATGCCTCCAGAGAAGGTTTGGCATCATTAGTTACGCTTCAGCCAGGAGCAAGTTTCCCTCTGCAGAGGAGAAGCGTAACACAATTAATATGCATTGACAGGACATGCATACATAATTAGAGCATGTGCAACCTTCAAAAGAACCACTGGGAAGGGAGCAGATCAGTTGCTGCGAATGCGATTCAATAGACCAGGCCAGCACTGCCTCCGTTTGCTGTACTTACCATACCTAAGGGAATGAGAGATCGGACTCAATTTGTCCCATTATGAGTACATGCTGATGAGGACAGATTCTGATCTGCCCAGTACTCGTTCACTGGTTATCAGTGTACCATAACAAAGGCTGGAAGGAACTCTTGATTGCTTCTTATCCCTTCTCAGTTTTAGGCAAGAACAACTCAAACTCCTGAGAAGCCACAACTGCTGTGGGCCCAACTCTGCTCTCAGTTTCACCAATGAGCATTGACACTAACGAAGTTACAAGTGTTTCCCAAATGGAGCTCTCAGAGAATGCATAACAAAGTCTGACCCCGTGACTCTAACCTACCCTAATACCCCCCCATCGTGCTAAAAGACTCAGTCTGACACTGCATCAACCCCGTGAGAAGCTGTGGTAGACCCTCCTTAGATGAACCCATCCACACCCTCTTCACATTTTCCTGTGCCCAAGGCCCAGTGCTCATTTCTAGATCAAATCGAACTTTGAGAAGCTGCTACTGTGCTGGAAGAAAGCAGCCATACAAACTCCCAGCATCACAGCAATGCTCAGCAATGACAATGCTTTCAATTTACAGTGATATTTTAGAGTTACTTGATCTTCTCATTGTACCTAGCATCCCAAGGCAACAAGACTCAGAGACCTGACAACAGGCACCCAGTGTATCAGTGTCAGGCCCAGATCTCAAACACAGCAATCCCCAACTCCTAGTCCTGTGTTCACACTCCTCCAGCATATACCTGAGCTCTACCAAGGCTACATATTGCTGAGGATATGCCCAATTGTCTACTGGGTTAACCTAATTTAGAGAGTGACAGCAAGGATGCAAACACACATTTTCCACTGAATAGCTGTCTAGGAGAAATAACAAAAGTACTGTGTTCACTTCCAACTTTTCATTGTTTGCAGAAGGTGGTGTGTCCATATTCCCTGAGAACAATCCCTACCTGAAAATCCCCTGCTAGCCAGTTGCAAGAAGGGACCAGAAGCTTGAGGGAAAACCTGGTTCTCAGAACACAACCACCATCTGCAGAAATGGAAGGTTCCAATTACAAACTCTAAAATCAAAAAGTTCCTGATTCTTCTGCTATTTATTACTCTAAAGTAGTCAGTCCCCTTCCTTCCAATGCATTAGTGTCTTGGAGACGATCACTTCCACAGTGTCCAGCATTACCTCCAACTGCAGTCTAAAACTACATTTCAAAGACAACTGGATTGCATATTGATGTTGCGTTACACTTGGAAATTCATCAAGCACAAACAACTTCGCTGCCTAGAATAAAACAAATCCTCTACAATCCTTCTGCTGACTTGGATCCCACAGAGCTTTACCTGTCTAAATTCAACATAGTTGCACTGATTTCAAAAGTGTCATTGTAGCGTTTCAGTGGTGTAACTGAGAGCAAAAGTCTGACTGTTGTGATTTCACAGACCCCTGAAGTCCTGTGTCATCATCAAATTGCTCAGTGCAGAGAGATGCTAGCAGTTCCTTCTTCCAAAAGACAGAAATAAGTGGTTTCCAAGAATTAAAGGACAGTAAGAGTTAAAGAGCTATTTTTATGGCATAAAGAACAGTTTAAAATTTAGTTAGTATTTATTTGGTCTCTCCTTTTTTGCATTCTCTCCACAGCCCTTGTTTATTGTTTGCATTAGTATTTCAGTCAGGAAGAGGCCAAAGAACTGTACTTGTTTGTTGCTTTTTGCTCCATCCTCCCCAGAGGACGAGGTTTGTATCCTCCCTAGGAGGATCCTAGAACACATCACTTACCCATAGGTCAAAAGTAACAACACCTGTGAAGCTTTCAGTATTAAAGTCGAGCACTGTTGAGAGAACAGACACTTGTGTATTCCAGCGGGCTGGCAAGCTGACACACGCTTAGTTTCTAGATTTTATCCATACAGGCATCAAGCTTGGCTCTGAGTATGAAACCCCTGTCCTTGTCTTCCCTCCCTCTGGAGCCAGCTCTATCTCTTAGCACCTAGTACGAATATGGAGTGGAGCTCTTGTTCTTCACTGTAGTGAAGCCTGGGAGAATGAATTAAATATAGATTGGGAAAGAGCTGACAAGCGGTGGCAGCATTAGCTGCAAATACTATTTCAGTCTTGCCTGTGGCCCATTTGAAGTTCCAGCCATGGCTGTGCTGGAATATTCTCCTTGCCTGACAAGGGGTGCCTCCAGCCCTGTTCCTGTGGGCAGGAAAGCAGCAAGTGAATGAGCAAGCACTTGCAGTCTGGCAAAAACAACGTTTATGTGTGCTACTTAAAGGAAAGGGAAGAAGCCAAACTCAGCAAGACAAGTCCACAGGCAGGGTGAACGAAGTCTGCAGTGAACAGCTCAATAAATCTGTACAATTTCTTGTTCCAAGTTCCAATCAAGTTGTGGCAATCTCTGAAAAAACACAGGAAGGCACTTCTGCATAGATATGCACTATCCTCTCTCCTCCATACACATACCCTCCTCCAAGGTCCTAACCAGCATGGTGGTGAAGCCGCTCTAGGCTGTGCAATGCTGAGCGGTGCAGAGACCCTGAAGAAGTCTTGAAAAGATGCCGCCAGACATCCACAGATCAGGGATGGAAAAAACCCTTTTGCCAACATACAAACATCCCCTTTTTCTCCCCTAGATAATCCTGAAAATTAAAAATGCAGTGGAGGGAAAAACATTGAGAGAGGCTATCCAGAAACCGGAGACAGCCTACAGCACGGGCCTGGATTTGGAATCACACTGTTACATATAACAACAGCAAGGAAGGTCTGGGTTGCATCTGTCTCTTTTTAGAAGTGGTAAGTTTTCTCTTACCAGTTTGGCCAGAACCCCTTTCAGCTTTAATTCTTCCTGGAAGATTCCTCCCTGGTGTCCCACTTACTGAAACGCATGGATTGGCACCAGACCTAAATTTGGCCTAGTTACTATTTTTCCCTAGTAAGCGTTTCCCCCAATCAGTAATAGAGGGATGGGAAGAGGAAGTAAATGATTTCTTTTTCTTCAGTCCCAAAGTAAAACATATCATACGATATGCTGAGTAACAAGAGCTACATCTGCTATTTTAAACATTCTGCTGGGTTTCCTATTAAGGAAAGGACTAACAAAGGCCACATGGAAAGTATCAGACTCCATATAGTGGACAGTCTTCTACATGGTACCCACCTAATTTATTCACAGCATAAGCATATAATGCCTTTATTTTAGCATAATATTTTATCTTGGGATTAAAGTAAAACATCATGCAAAGTACAGATGTTCTCTTTATCCCTATCAATATTAAGCTTTTTTTTTTTTCTTTGAAACTTCCTCAGTTACAGTTCTGGACCACCAAATTTCACAAGTTAATTCATATGTAAAGAATAAACTTCCTTGCCTAGCTACAACTCCATCCCTCCCTGGATCTTCTTGGCCATTCTACCAGACAGCAAAATGTATTAGTGGCCTTCCCCCTGTAGAGGCATTCAGAGATAGCTTAGTTCTTCCCCATATGATATAGAGATGACCAATGAGCAACTTGCTTTCTCAGGAACCAGTGAAGGAGAACAAGTGTCATGTCATATTCTCTGTGCTCACTAGCAGGAAGAGGTCCAAAGAAAAGCAACTGATGGATGTCTTTGACTCACGGAGCTTGTGTCATCAACGGTCATACAGCAGAGACATGGTCAATGTCATGGGGACGCTACCTGAGATGGTGACTTTGGGATGCTTGCCCCAGGCGCTTCCAAAGTGGACGGTTCCAGCTCATGGTTGACAGTCTTGGTCTCAGGGCTGGTGATAGGAGATCCATCTGGTGGAGGCGAGGGGCTTTTATTTGCTTTCGCTGGGGTGCTGTCACTGAAGGAAGGGGAGAGAGAAACAGGGTTTTGAGAGAAAGAGAGAAGTCTGAGCCAGGCCTAGGCGGAGTTGTGCTAACCAGCACAGATCAGTGGCCTCCATTATCCTTGCTTCACTGCCCAGACATGTGATGATATTTGAAGCCTCTACAAGCTTCTGAGAAGCATCTTTGCTGAGTCACTTGCAGTCCAACACACTGCAGCAGCACTGCTGTGCAACAGGCCACTCACTAAATTC